TGCAATGCATGAACATTGATTAATTAAATCCTGAATCAGGGGGTCATTAATTGTTGTGGTGTAGCCTGTAAAGCTGTTTCCTGCAACATTGGCACTTCTTATGGGCACTGATTTGAGTGCTGGCTGCTCCACTTCCAGTGCTGCTCTCTGCAAATGGCCTGGGAAAAGCAGCAGAGGATGGCCCAAGTACTTTCACCCCTGCTACTCACGTGGGAGACCTAGAGAAGCTCTGGGCTCCTGGCCTCAGCCTGGCCCAGCCTTGGCAGTTGTGGCCAACTCGGGGGAGTGATCTCTGTCTCTCCTTCTCTCTCTCTAGCTTTGACTTTAAAATCAATCAATCAATCATTCAATAAATCAATCTATACGAGAAATCCTGGATCAGGAAAAGAAAATTCAGCTTTGTAGGCCATTTTCATGGTAATTGTTGAAATGTGAGTTTGTCCATATGTTGTGTGATCATTGTGTTAATGTTGATTTCCGTGGGTGTGGTGATGATGGTGTGATGGTGTTGGAGAATATACCTGTTCTTAGGTATAAATAATAAGGTACTTAGGGATGATGTGTCATGAGGTATGTCATGAAATGTGTCTTTAACCTACTTTTCATATGATTTGATGAAAAGGGAAGGGAGAAAGTGTGTGTGTTTGTGCGTGAGCATGTGTGTATATAGAATTGGTTGTTTTGTTGAGCATTGCTTAATTCCTATCATAGATAGCACTGAGCATAATAATTTAATAGGGAGGTGCCCTAAATGTTTTTCAGTTAACCAATGCTTTAAGTCAGGGGTAGGGAACTTTTTTGTTCTGCCAAGGGCCATGTGGATATTTATAACATCATTCGTGGGCCATACCAAATGATCAGTTTAAAATTTTGAGTTCTGCCTGAGGTTGTCTTGGCAGTGCCAGAACAAATGATTTCACTGGCCTTATAATATGGCCCACAGGCTGGACGTTCCCCACTTCTGCTTTAAGGTGTTTTTGGGATTCTCTGAAAACATGCCTAAGTACTGCATGTCTGCTCTTTAACATTGGGGTTTGGCTCTAGTTGCACACTACTTAACGTTGGATAATTGGATATGGGGGATCATGTTTTCTGGAGTGGCTCCCCACATGGGTCCCTTTGGACAGAAAATCCCTATTGAATGTTCGAAAGTATAAATGAATGGGAAAGAAAAGCCCAGCGTGGGGTTTAGCTGTTTCCTGAGAGGCCAAGGTAGGAAGTGCAAGCACGTACTTGTCTATTTGTTGCCAAGTATGCCCCCTTGGGGGCCGAGCCCCTGTCATTTTGGTGAGTGAAAGGAGGCACATCTCTGGAGTGCTGAGTCTCAGGGGCACCTCTGAGGTATTCTTCTGGGCTGTAAGTCTTAGGGCTGATATAAAGGGTGGTGGGAACCTTGATTCTAACATTGTAGTACTGCCTAGCTGACCAGGCAGGGAACACAGTAGTTAATATTCGCTTCTATATCTGAAGGAGCTCTTCTGGTTAAATGGTGTGAGATGTCTAGAGCCAACTTAGCAGTCACTTATAAAAATAATGACAAGCTCAGAGGAAGAACTATTCTGCTGCTACAGGCTGTGGAATCAAATTACTTCAATAAATATTCATTAAGCAATTGTATTCTTGGAGAATACAAATGAAAATAAACCCTTGCCTTGGACTGGGCACTTAGAGCATGCAGGAAGGAGATGAGGCACAGTGCTGACAATTACCAAAACAGTGATTTTGCTATATGATAGGCTAGTGAGGTGATAGAAAGCTAGTATAAAGTGTTATGGGAATGGAGAAAATAAGCCATTTGGATTTGACAAAGGTTTCAGAGATAAGGTTGTTTTTGAGGTGACTTTTAAATGAGCCACAGGGACACAAGTGGGGAGACACTTGACTTCCAGGCAGAGGGCATAGCAGGTGCCCAGAGGCCTGGATGGGTATTGCTGTGGAGAGCTTGATTGACATCTGGTAGTGGCTAAAGCCTTAATTAGCATTGGGGCAGGAAGAGAAAGGCTTGGGGTTGTTGGAGGGGAAGTTTGGGCCACACAGGAGGACCTCAAAAGCCACGCTCAGGAGTGCAGGTTCTACAAGGGAATGAGGAGCCCTGAAAACCCTTTGGAGGGTGATATGGTTTTAGTAATACCACAGAGGGCATGCAGAGGCTGGTGTGTGAAGGTACACAAGTCCAGGGGCAGAACTGCAAGCAGTCATGGTCAAAGCAAAAAATCTGAACTCTGCCAGGTACAACAGAGAGAGGGTAGAAAATAAGGGTACTCTTCGAGGATTCTTCCAGCTCTCTCTACTAATAGCTTTTGATTTTTAAAATCTTTCTATGGAAACCTTTAAAAATACTTAAAAGAGAGAAGCTTATTCAAACCTTCAAACAGTTCTGAAAATGTATTACCTTTCAACTAGGAAAGAAAGTTATTATTTCAGAAAAATTAGAATGTGTGTAGACTGGTTACTCAGTCACTTAATCTTATAGAATTAGGTAGGAGGGAAGCAATTTTAGTGCCCTTCAACCTTCCAGAACTTTGTTTGGGTTCTTCCCAAATGTTCGGTGCATTTTTCAGATTTGTAGCCAGCATATCATCAGTTTAGTGTACATCTGTAAGCTGTAAGGAGGTTGATTTCACCCATTCCTTTTTATTTTCCATTTCTTGCTTTGCACCTGAGAAAACAAACCCTGGTCCATAGGTTCATGCTCTGTATTAGAGATTTGCACCACAGGTAACCTAAGATGGATCCAGCTGAGAGTGTTCCAGGTTTGGAGTTTAGACTAAAGAAGGGGGGTGGAATCTTTTCATTTTTTCTTTATTTTGGGAAAAACTTGGTGAGTTGGATGTTTAAAGGAGCAATTCTATAAAATACCTCCTGCTGGTTGAGTATCTGATATAAAATACAACCTTATTTTCTTTAGCTGTCATCAAAATACTTCTATCCACAACTTAGAGCTTTTCCTTTGAGAATTCAAACTTGTAATACTTTGAACTTCAATGAGCAAAGAAACCTTACAAAATTAACCCATTTTTTTGGATTGAGAAATCATAGGCTTATGAATCCCTATGTAAGTTCCAAAGGCTTTTGACAGTTTTCTCTTCTTTGTGGCTTGAATATTTCAAAAAGTTCTTCTCATGTTTCTGGGAGGTTTGGTGTACAGCAAGAAAAGTGACCTATGGGCTTAACTTATCTGTGTGAATATAATCTTCTTTGCTTACCAAGCAAGGATTCTTTTGGCATGTGGGACCAAAGAAAAGATTCCAAAGTAAATAAAGTGGTTTGTTAATGTCAAATTAGAGTTTTAGTCTTAAAGTGCCATAATTGTTTTGCTGGAAATTTCCAATTCAGTGTGGTAGTTATGCTAAAATAAAAACGGGTTAAATTACTAATAAATTAACACTGAATGAAATATAGTTGTTAAATTGTTCACACACAAAAGATCACAATTCCTTAATATTAGGAATTATTCTACAAGACAACTATTTTAATGATGCTGGAACTATACTGAGGTTGTTGGTGTTTTTTACCCCCATGTAGAAGCTAGTCTATACTTTAAAATGTGTAATAGATATATTAACAATAAGGAAATATTATTAAATTCAGTTACATTTTATATTTGAGGGTATGTTTCATTCACTTAATTGAGAATTTATTGACTGTGTCTTGGGTGCCTATCATTTTAAAAATATTTGTTTGAAAGGCAGAGTTAGAGAAAAGGAGAGATGGAGGGAGGGAGGGAGGGGGAGAGAGAGAGAGAGAGAGAGGAAGAACGAGATCCATCTTCCATATGCTATTTTACACCCCAATTGGCTGCAACTGTTGGGGCTGGGCCAGGCCAAAGCCAGGAGCCTGGAACTCCATCTGGGTCTCCCACGTGGGTTGCTGGGGCCCAAGTTCTTGGGACATCATCTGCTTTCCCAGGCATATTAGCAGGGAGCTAGAATAGAAGTGGAGCAGCTAGTGACTTGAACTGGTGCTCATATGGGATGTTGGGGTGCCTATCATTTTGCTAGGAGATGAATGGAAGTTGCCCCTTGCCCTTGAAGAGAAGACTTTTTAATAAGAGCAGAGTTAAATAGATAACTATAATATTATGAGATAAATGAGAAAATAAATATTAAAAACTCGAATATGGAGAAATGAGAAAATAAATATTAAAAACTCGAATATGGAGAATTTCAAATATATAGAGAATCAGAGAATGAATGCATCTACCAGCTACAACAATGGTCTCTTGGTTATTCATGTTTCACCCTTAGGTATCACTTACTCCTTTCTCTTCTCTTAGAATAGGGTAGCGTGTGATAGACATTTATAGACATTTGAATAGAGTACTATTGAGAACACACGGGGAAAAGAGGCTATACCTGGGAACTTGGGAGTAAACTATAGAGAAGTAATATTTGAGTTCAGTCTAAGCGGGGAGGAGAATGTTCTAGTTCCAGGTGATGGGTTGGGAACCAACAGTTATTGCAATGCCTTGAAAATATTTGTGTCTCTAGTACTTTTTTGTTTCCTTGAAATGAGTATCCAAGATGTGATTTCAATGGGTAGGAAAAAATTTTGTCTTAAGTTAATTATTATATAAATAATTAATTCACTTTTAATTTCAATAAACTAGGATAATCCACAAGTGGTGGTAATGACTAATCTGTTCTCTTTTCACCCCAGTGATTTTCTAGACTTTGTACATTAGAAGCTACCCCTTGAAGAAATCACTCTCCTTTGTAAGAAGAGTAACAGCTATCGTTTGTTACTTTTATTTTTATTTTTGAAAGAGGAGGAATAATAAATTACTTAGTCCTAAAGCACCATGAGTAGGTAGAACTAAATGATCTGAATTAAAAAACTGTAAGCTGGAGAAAAAAGGAACCAACCAGTGTGTACACACAGGTTCCTGAGGGACTTTTTGGTTAGTTACACTGTGAAATCCTTGCAATTTCATTATATATCTTGTCTTCTTTTCCTGTTATGAAATGGGGTTTTCATCATGATTTTCTTGTCTGTTTCAGATCACAGAACTGTGTGGTGCAAAGCGGGTTGGTTATTTTGGTCCAACACAGTTCTACATTGCTCTGAAATTAATTGCTGCAGCACAGTCTGGCCTCCCTGTGCGGATAGAGAGTATTAAATGTGGTGAGTATCTCAAATTTGTACATTTTATTATCCACAACATGTTTCTTGCTTATGAGACCCATTTTTAGTGGGTCTAAAGCCTGTTCTATAACCTTTTGTGGGAATTTCTCCTTGCTTCTTCCAACTCCTGTGCAAAATGCAGTGACAAAAGTTAGTTTTTTTCTTTTTTTTTTTTAAACTGGGAAAGATTCAGCAAGTGATCTAAGATTAGTTCCTTTTAACTGACTTGCAGTTGAAATAGATTTTGTTCTTTAGCGGGATGAGAGTAAAATAATAACCTTCAGTTTAATTTTCCGCTTGAGGTAACTATAATATCATTCAAGGCTCTGTTAAGGATTGGGCGGAGTAACAGGAGAGGTTGAGTGGAATTGCTCCTTTTCTCTCTCTTTTCATTCCTGCCAGTCCTATCAGATGCACTCAGCCTTCAATTCCCAAGTGCTGGAGCACTGATGTGATGACTATTAAGTCCTTTGGAGCTACCAAAATTTTGGCAAAGTGAATTTATCTTTTCTGTTTTTATTTACCGTGTTTTTTTTTTAAGATTTATTTATTTATTTGAAAGAGTTATAGATGGCCATAATGGCCAGGGCTGGGCCAGGCCAAAGTCAGGAGCCAGGAGCTTTATTTGGGGTTCCCACGTACGTGGCAGAGCCCTAAACACCTGGGCCATCTTCTGCTTTACCAGGCCATGAGTAGGGAGCTGGATCAAAAGTGGAGCAGCTGGGGCACAAAGTGCTACGCATGTGGGATGCCAGTGTCACAGATGGCAGCTTTACCTGCTACGCCACAGTGCTGGTCCCGGATTTAATGTTTTCTTATCTTCCCATCCCTGCCCCCAACCCACTGTACGCTTGAACACTTTTCACAAGTTAAACAAAAAGCAAAGCCCACAACAATTATCATGATTTCCTCAGCGTCAGTATTGACTTTAAATATTTCAATGAAGGAGGTGACTATTTGAGGGATTCATCATGATGTAAATTACTTTCATATGTTTACTACACAGCTCTGTGGGAACTTTTCCCCCTATCATTAATTTGAGATAAAATCCACTCAGCTGTTCACTCCTGCCTTGTTAAGTGTCTGGTTGAGATATAAGTGGGTTCTGGATTTACGGTTAGTTCATGGAGAGCTTGTAAGACAACCTAAATAGCCAAGATTGTCATATATGGCTGTGGGAAACAGTGCTCGCTTGTTGCCCTAACCATCATGGGGCAACAATCATCCTGTTAATCTTTATCAAGGACTTAGAGCATGCCAGACATTGTCTTATTTAATCCTTACGGCATCTTACTAAATTAGGTACTTGTGTTAGTTTGCATCACTTAGGAAAGCTGCAGTAACAAATGCCATGGCAGTCTTAGTGCCTTAACCAGACAAAGGTTTGCTCCGCACTTTGCAGTGGGTCAGGATAATCCTTCAGGGTAGCTATCTTCCATGTGGCGGTTCTGTGATATCAGCTGCTTTATCTTGTGGCAACTTTAACAGAACCTGTTCCCATACTTGCCATGGCAGGGCACTAGTTTCTCACTCTAGCAGTTAAGTGCTCTGGCTTCAATGTGACTCATATTACTTCTGCTCACGGTGTATTGGCCAGAACTTACCACGTGGATCTGCTTAACTACAGAGCAAAGTAAGGGCACACAGTTCTTCCCTGTGCCTGCAAGGTACAGGGACAGCTGAACACTGAAGGGGTTGTGGTGCTATTGTTTATACATCTCACAAACGTGGAAATTAAAGGATAGAGAGGTTGAGTAGCTTGCTTAAGAGCATAAGGCTATTAGAGTTTGGAGCCAGGAAGTTATGCCTACAGTTCCCATGTTCTTAATTGGTATGCAAACTAACCCCTTCTTAATTCTATTTAGTAAGGTGTTGACTATAATTTATGATCACAGATTATTTTCCATTAAAAAAATTAGATCCCAAAGGCATTTCTTGGTATTACAGAATTTGGTCTTTGAAATATGAGGTACTAGGGCCAGTGTTGTGGCGTAGTGGGTAAAGCTGCTGCATCCCATATGGACACCGATCTGAGTCCCAGATTTTTCACTTCCCATCCAGCTCTCTGCTGTGGCCTGGGAAAGCAGCAGAAGATGACCCAAGTCCTTGAGCCCCTGCACCCACATGGGACTCCCAGAATAAGTTCTTGGCTCCTGGGTTTGGATTGGCTCAGCTCCAGTTGGTGTGGCCATTGGGGAGCAAACCAGCAGATGGAAGACCTCTTTGTCTCCCTCTCTGTCTCCACTTCTCTGTAACTCTGCCTTTCAAATTAATAAATAAATCTTTAAAAAAAAAGAAATACGAGGTACTTCAAAAATTCACAGCAAATAGAATTAAGAGATTTGTTTATTTTGGTTCAAAAAACTTTGGAAATCCATAAATATGAGGCACTTTCAAAAAGTTCAAGGAAAATGCATATTATGAAAATACTATGCATGGATTGCAATTATGTTTTACACCAAAATAAACTTATCTTTAAATTCTATTTGCCAACAACTTATTGAAGTACCCTCCTAGGTTTCTTGATGGAGTGTTTTTTTAATTTATTTTATTTACTTGAAATTCAGAGAGAGAGAGGTCAATCTTTCATCTGCAAATTCACTCCCCAGATGCCCACAACAGTCAGGGGTGGACCAGACCAAAGTTAGGATCCAGGAGCTTCTTCCAAGTCTCCCACATGGGTGGCAGGGACCCAAGCAGCTAGGTCATCTTCTGCTTTCCCAGGCACATTAGCAGGGAGCTGGATTGGAAGTGAAACAGCCAGGACGTAAACTGGTGCCCAAATGGGATGTTGGCATCGCAGCCATTGGCTTAACCTGCCACACCATGATGCCAGCCCTTGGAGTGTCATTTTGTCAGCAAGCTTGGTGTTTGTTACTATAGAATGTAATGGTCACTGCTCCCAACTCTTTGTTTAATTAGTTGAAAGTTATATCACATTGAGTTTGGATTTGTCATGGGATTGGTAGCTTTTGTTTTATTGTAACTGATCACTAAGACTTATTTTAATATCTTCCAACTTTATCTTCTAGAAAACTTAGAGCTGCATTGTTGTGTACAAGAATGAACTTTTGATGCCTTTGTTGTTGTTGTTGTTTTTTTTTTTAAGTGAGGCTTAAGCCTTTTACCTGATTTGTGCCCATATCTGTTAGCTTAATTTTCTGGGAGTTGGGGTAAAGAGAAGGATTATCAAAGTTATCACTTGTGTAAAGGACTAATACTTTTCCATGAACACGAGCATGGTTAAAAAAATCATGGAAATGGAATCAAAATATAAGTTTATTTTGGTATAAACCATTTTGAAATCCATACATATGTTTTTTTCCATAATGTGCCTTTTTCCTTGAACTTTTTGAAGACTCTAGTGCAAAGCTTTCTCGGTTGTATTTTTTTTAATTAATTAATTTTTTAAGGAATACAAATTTCTTAAGTACAACTTTAGGAATATAGTTATTCTTACCACCATACCTGCCCTCCCACCCATACTCCCACCCCTCTCATCCTCCCTCTCTCCTTCCCAGTCCCAAAGATTCATTTTCAATTAACTTTGTACACAGAAAACTAACTCTATTCTAAGATTTTAACAATTTGTGCACAGACACACACACACAACTGTTTGAGAACTAGTTTTACAGTTAAATCTCATTGAGGACAGAGGTCTTGCATGGGAAGTTAGTGCACAGTGACTCCTGTTGTTAATTTAAGAATTAACACTCTTATGTATGATGTCAGTGATCACCTGAGGCTTTTGACACGAGCTGCCTAGTCTATGGAAGCCTTTTGAATTCACAAACTCCATCAGTATTTAGACATGGTCATAAGTAAAGTGGAAGTTCGCTCCTCCCTTCTGAGAAAAATGCATTTTTCTTTGATGACCACTTCATTCTGCTGGGGTCTTACTCACAGAGATCCTTCATGTAGAGTGGGCATCCTTGTCTGGTACTAGATCTCAGTGGGAATGTTTCCAACTTTTCCCCATTTAATAGGATGCTGGCTGTGGTTTTCTCATAAATTGCCTTGATTGTGTTGAGGAATATTCCTTCTGTACCCAATTTGCTTAGAGTTTTCATCATGAAAGTGTGTTGTATTTTATCAAATGCTTTCTCTGTATCTATTGATATAATCATACAGTTTTTGTTCTTCAATTTGTTAATGTGATGTATCACATTGATTGATTTGTGAATATTGAACTGTCCCTGCATACCAGGGTTAAATCCCACTTGGTCTGGGTGGATGATCTTTCTGATGTGTTGGAATCAATTGGCTAGAATTTTGTTGAAGATTTTTACATCTATGTTCATCAGGGATAGTCTGTTGTTCTTTTTCTCTGTTTCATCTTTTTCAGGTTTAGGAATTAAGATGATATTGGCTTCATAGAAAGAATTTGGGAGGATTCCCTCCCTTTCAATTGTTTTGAATAACTTGAGAGGAATCAGAATTAGTTCTTTAAAGTCTGGTAGAATTCAGCAGGGAAGCTGTCTGGTCCTGGGCTTTTCTTTGTTGGGAGGGTCTTTATTGCTGATTCAATTTCTGTCTCAGTTATGGGTTTGTTTAGGTTTTCTATGTCTTCCTGGTTCAATTTAGGTAGGTTGTATGTGTCCAGGAATCTATCCATTTCTGCTAGATTTCCCAGTTTGTTGGCATACAACTCTGTAGTAATTTCTGATGATTCTTTTTATTTCTGTGGTGTCTGTTGTTACATTTCCTTTTTCATCTCTGATTTTGAGTCTTCTCTCTCCTTTTTTTGGTTAGATGGGCCAATGGTATGTCATTTTTTTTTCAAAAAACCAGCTCTTTGTTTTGCAGATGTTTTGTATTTTTTGATTCAATTTTGTTGATTTCTTCTCTAATTTTAATTATTTCTTTTCTCCTACTAGTTTTGGTTTGGTTTCCTGTTGTTTTTCTTGATCCTTGAGATGTATTAGCTCACTTATTTGGTGCCTTTCCAGTTTCTTGATGTAGGCACCAATTGCTATAACCTTTACTCTTAACACTGCTTT